CCATAAGATATCACCAAGAGTTTCTAACCACTGGATACCCAACACCATTTCACAACTGCCCAATAATAAAATCAAAGTATCTATTTGGAATGGTTTACCTTGTAGGCACCAAGTAAACCTTGAACACATGTGCATCCTCTAAGGAGCTGCCATATGCTGCATTAACCTTCAATGCCTCAACAAGTTCCAATCTACACCTTACTTTTTTAGCTATATCCAACTGTGACCCTCATAGTCATATAAACTATGCCATCCATGCCATCTAAAGCATGCATAGATATACGAGGAGTAGAATCCTCTAAAAGTTCTTCTGTAGCTTCTTCAAATATTTTTCCCTCATCTTCGTCTTCCATCTTCACCATTTCTATTACATATAACTACATGAACTTGCATTTATAACCACTGGTAAACTTTTCATCACAAAAATAACAGTCTTTTTGCCTCTTCTCTTCCATTTCTTGCTTAGTTAAGGGTTTGGTGAGTTTCTAATTTGGAGTTTTTGTATTGGGAGTATAATATTTTGGTGATCCAAAATTGGTTTGGTTTTTTATATGTGAGTAGGGATTGGATTTGGGAGTGGTAAGGCAAGATGGAGTGCTAGGTAAAGGCAATAAAGGTGTGATGCTCCCGGTTGTAGTTTTGGATGAAATTTTTTAGATTCTTTTGTAGATGACTCTCATAATCTAGCTAGGGCATAGGTGTTACATAAAGTTTGAGGCTTGAACATATGAACTGTTATCTCAATCTCCCTTTTCAATCCATTGCGAAAAAAACTCACAACTTGCTTCTTATTAATGCTAGTTTTAGGAATGCTAGTTTTGGGAAATAAAGTATCAAATTGTTCCTGAAACTCTTCTATTGAGCTAATGAGATCGGACATAGGATCTTTATAAGACTTCTTCCCAAATCTAGTATTCAGCCTTTCTATATACTCATCCCAATTAGACATCACTTATTCCCCTTTAATTTCTAAAATAGACTAATGCCATTTCATTACTTTTCCTTCAAGTTTAATAGATGCTAAATATGCTTTATGCTTTGTAGGGGTTTCATCAACCTTGAAATATTGCTAACATTTGTTTAACCAGTCCTCTAGCTCTTCACCATTAAACTTAGGAAACTCAACTTTTATAGATTTAGAGGTTAAGGGACCATTACCTATGGTTTGAAAGGTTTGGCCCCCACAAGAAAAACCAGAAGAGTCTAGTTCAGCCATAATCTGCATTTGTTGAACATTTAGCCCAAACACCCAAGTGCTAATATTTGAAACCATCTTCTCATACCTCTCTTCCATCACCATCAATTGACTTTCATGATGCCTTGCCATCTCTACCATGGCTAATTTAACAGCCTCTTCAATTAATTTATTGCTTTGATCATGAGCCCTTGTTTCCATGGTGCCAAAATTGTAGCTCTGATACCAAAATGATACCAAAGAAATATAAATGAAAAACAATAAGGAAGATTTATAAGAGAAAGAAAGATCCTCGATATGTATTCCTTAATAAATTTGGATTACAAAAAGAAATAAGAGATACAGAGGGTTCAAAGAAGAAGAAACTAGAATATTCACATATCCACAATGAGGAATCACAGCATACATATATTGATGTTGTATGATTCTTGACTACAAGACACAATAACCCAACAACAAAAATGCAAAAAAAGTTATAGGAAATAACATAATGAGTTTGTGGTTGCCATCTATCCTAGACAACTTAGGATATCTGCTCATGAATTCAGTTTAACACCTCAACTCTTGAATTGTCAACCCAACTTTTACTATTTTTTTTTTCATATCACATTGCTGTCCAACCCTTCTTTGGACCTGCCATCCACCAATGGAGCTACCATTGTCACAGCCACTGTCACCTCCCTTCCACCCAGTATTGTCCCTACACTCCCCATAATGTAGCCCTGTTTGCGTCTTGCATCTCAATCCAAATCCATATGCGCAACAAACCTCACTCTAGTTTCGTGGAACCTTTATCAACCATCCCCGACATTGCCCAAATGTCGTCCCACATTCACCAACTGTTGGAACAGGCCCAACATTCAATTTAGGCCCTACATAATGGGCTTAAGCTGGCACCCATTAGCCCAAAGTGAGGGAGCACTAGTATAAACATACCCACGTGAACAGCACCATGTGGACCAATGAAATGCTTACATGTACAGATGCATGTCAGCACTTTGGGCTATAAATACCCCCCAACTACCTCCGAGGAAGGTAATTAATCTCTACACTTCTTTCTCTGCAATTACTCCTTGAGAGCATTTCTCTCTAGAATATTGAGTATTGTTGACTTGAGCGTTGGAGTGTTTTCCCTGAGGCAACATCCTTGAGATTTTCAAGTGTAGAAGCAGCTAAGGACTTCAACAGTGTTGGACTACGAAGCTGCCCAAACATTTGGCGCCGTTTGTGGGAAACCGAGCAAGAAGCTGTGTAGTTTAACCGGCAAAAAGACCAAATGGTTTGAACCTTTATTGGAAGTCGCCCCCCGAGAAATGAAATGGATGAACAAGAGGACATTCAGCTATCTAAGCTCGGCCTTAATGATTTTAGACCAATGTTGAGGAACCTTTTTGTTGGGGGAGCAGCATAGGATCAATTAAGTGGAATAGATGATGATGAAAGAACACCAACTGGGTATGCAACTCAGCCCGAACATTTCCAAATTCAAACAGGAACAAGGCAAAGACAACCCAGACAAAATAATCTACAACAGGAACGACCTAAAAGGTCAACAGAACCTGCTCGAACAACCGATCTCGAAGAGAGAACCAGAGTTCTCGAAATGGCAATGGGCAAAATCTTAGCTCGTCTGATTCCTGATGACCCCCTGATATCTTTATTGAATAGGGATGCACAGCCAGCTGCGGTTGTTGCAACTAGAAACTCCCCCACGTTGAGCAACATAGTAGTGCTGACCAAACCAAGGGGAAGTGGGAAGCTAAATAACGAGCCCAGCTCGTCCAAACATAGCGAAGAACTGATGAGAAAGAACGCAAACCTTGAAAGACAGCTAAAGGATGTACAAAAATCCATTGACGAGCTGAAAAGTCCCAGGTCACACCAACAGACCCTTGATTTGGATAGTGCTCCACTAAACATATCCATCACAATAGAACCGTATCAAGAGGGATTCAAAATTCCCCACCTGCAGACATATGATGGCTCGGGCGACCCATATGAGCATCTGCACACCTATCAAGCCATCATGAGAATCAAAAATGCCAATGATGCCATGATGTGCAAAGTGTTCCCAGCGACACTGAAGTCAACGGCCAGAAGATGGTATCATAAACCCCCCAAACACTCTATAGACTCATACTCCCAGCTCACCAAGCTATTCTCCAACAAATTTACGAGCCAAAGGGAGATTAAACGCACAGCGACCGAGCTTATGCAAGTTCATTAGAAAGAAGGGGAATTTTTGAGGCACTACATGCAGCGATTCAACAAAGCCACTTTAGACATTGATAACATCCCAGATACCATCTGCTTGTCTGCCTTGCTGCATGGTTTGAAGCGTGGT